CTATGGCCTTTTGTTTGACTGAATCTAGAGCGAACGTTCTTATCTCATTATCTATCTGCAACCAACCTTTGGCAATAAATCTTTTACTAAGTCTTTTAATAATGATTTTTGCCTCAAATTTCTGAGAATATTACTCATCAGATAAGTCAGTGATGTATGCATGCACGTTATATTTTTATCTGGGATCACGTGATGTCTATTAGTTCAATTAGAAGAATCTTAAATAGTTAATTTCATCCACTTAGAATACGGAGGCAATAATTCAGTTATACATATATTGATAATTATTATGAAATAACTTGGATAGAAGCTAAGCAGCTATAGTACATCCACTAGCTGATAGTCAAGTTATGTGGTAGAATAAGAAGAAAATTCTAAACTTGACCAAAGTTCAAAGAAGACGAAAAGATTACCGAGCCCTTCTTCAGTATGTACTATATACAGCCGGAATAATTCAGTAATTACTATACCAGTAAAAATGAACTCATTATGAAAGGTTTAAAGAAATGCTTAAAAATGATATAATAAATCTTATGTGATAATAAGCAATGAATTGCTTTCGTAATATTTTCTGATAAACAACAGCATGTACTCTTTTTCTGTGCACATAAACTGATATTGTATAAATTTGTAATCCACCATATCCTAAATTATAGTTAGACAGTTAAGTATTTGACAATGATTGTTTTAAAAGTACAGAGCACCAATTTTAGTATGGGGAATATAAACCCAACTTGGCGTCTATTAGTAAAGAATCACCAACTGCCTAGAGACTTTCTGAATTTTTATGGACACAGATTTCGTGGACCTAGAGAAGTATTATTTGTCAACCAGTCTACATTTGTGGTTACCTCAGTTTTCATTTGTTATCTGAAAATTAAATTTTTCTGTCCCTCTTGAGGTTTAGTTGCTTCACATCTTGCTGATACATTTAACCGATGGAAAGACATATACATAATATGATTTATGGATCTAAATCTTGAATATAAGTTCAAAATTAAGGGCATTAAAGAGTTAAGCTGGTTGAAAATACTTTTACATCAGATCTAACCGTAGAACGCGAAATAGCTATAATCAATATATAAGAAAAGCAGAGGAAGAATTCGACTAAATCTTTATCAGATAAAAAGGAGAACTATGTGAACATATTTTGCATATTTGAAAATTAAACACTGCTCATTATGCAATAAGCTCCGCATTTTCTCATGCCCATATAATCTATGATATTCTAAATCTCATTCGCCTATTTGAAGCAGTGATAGGAAGACAGCTAGCAACAGAGGATATGGGGAATTAGGAATGACAGTAATCAAACATAATGAGTACTTTTTTATCAGATTAGAATTATTTGACTTATTCAAAGAATGTCTTAGACGGCTGTTGTGGACAGCTACAAAAAAATTCGAATATTCAGAAAATGTTTTTAGCGGGAATCACTAACAGACATATATGACTGGTGTCTTGTTTGCATCAATGAATTACCGGAATTCCCATCTATGATAGTGCAACGAATTTTCTCCATTTCTTGTTGTTTTAATCATTCATTATTTCTATATGTCGCAAAATGCATTTGCGCACATTTTTAATTAGCTTACGACCTATGGATGAACATTTCCCGATGACGAAGGAAAAACGTCATAAGAGATCGGTTTATGCCTCATATTGAACAACACCATGTTATATAATATACCACAGATTGCTAATTTACTTGAAGATCCTGAATGAAAAGAAAATATTTTGCAATAAATTACTCTGAGAATTCTTCATGTCTGAAAATTTTTTCTAGAATAAAGTTGTTGCTATTATGATGATAACAAACAAGTTATGTTAGCATTGTGATGATTTTGACTCAACTGATAAAAATCCAGTGATTTTTGTGAACTAGGCAAGTTATGTAAATTAACAAGGGAAAGGTTAAGAAACGGTCTCATTAAGAAAATCAAACATTGATAACTGATCCTTTTGAAACGTATGAGACTGGTTCTTTCTTTTGAACAGGTGCGGCCTCAGTCGGTTAGTCACCTATGAAGATTTTAAGATGCTTACTCGATGTTCTGTATCAGTGGAATGCCTTGTAATCTAAGGCATTTATTTATTCAAGACGAAGGTTATGTAGCCTGGTCCAGACGTTTATCTCTGCAGTCCAGATCTATTTGGTTCTACAGACGCACAGATTATTTCATTTATTTATCTAACTGTGACTACATTGAAGAGAATGTTGCTCCGTGCAGGAGGATCACCTTGACTCTAATACTGAAAATGTTTAAGTTGTCCAATGATCTCTAGTTCTTAAAATGAAATCACTCCTTGTAGTGATCTACCTTAAATAAAATAAATAACAAACTATGACGACTAAAATGTGAAGAATGTGCAAACATTTTGTATGCTAGTTATTACTGGTAAATTCATGATCACATGAGTAATGAACGTCAGATTCCGTTCCAGTGACTGGTCATCTCTTCAGAAATAATGAAAATTATTACAGGCAGAGTACACGTTTTACCACACACACAGATAAAATGACAATTCCAAGTGTTGGTGTAAAGGGAATTGAATAACTCCAAGTTAGACCACCGAGTGATGTCACTTAGATAACCACTGTAAACTGAGGAGCACGGGACAGTTTTTTCGTCCCAGATCGTGACTCTACTGATTTGGCGATATTAAGTAATATGAAATGCACACGTCGAGTTACAGGATTTCTATCAAAACTTCGGAAACCGTTAGATTCCTTGAAAGGTCACATCTTAATAACAGATAAGAAGTCACTTTGATATCAATACGCTTGTATTACCTTTTATCTATATAAAGGACTGTCAAACAACATTTCTATTGCAATTTGTGATTCTTCATCGTTGTCAACTAGCAACCATATGCTAGACCGAATCTGGGACACTCAGTTCTTCTAAACACCATGTATAGAAAAGTAGGTCAGAATTCAGTATTAGAATAGTACTTGATCCCGGAGGTAGAGTACACTTTCATTCTAGAGAATATCTATTTATTTTCTTACCATTTATTTCACGCAAAATATTTAAACAAACTGTAGGTGTAGCAACGGGATCACAAACATCCCCTGTAGTAGCAGATATCTTCATGGATAGCTGCGTAAATGCTGCTCTTAATACATTTAATCGCACCCGCAAATTATGGTGGAGATGTGTGGATTACAGTTTCACATATTTACAAACACAACATATCTCACACACACGTAAACTCAATAGTAAAAGGAACAGAATTCACATTTCAATCGTAAAATGAACAAGCCAAACTAGCCATGTTGGATTGTGAAATGAAACCAACAGATGAAGGTAAACTGGACACTAGCATCTATCATAAGCCAATGCATTAGAACAGATATTTAAACTTTAACTCATCTCATCCGTTATCTGTGAAGTAAGACTCAGTTAAGTATCCAACAAACAGAACATTAGCATCAAGTAGTTTATCAAAACGCTTGAATGATGAGACGAAACATATAGAATAACTGTCCTATAAAATTCCTTTGGAAGACCAGAAAACATCATAAGAGAAATAGAAATAATGGTGAAACTAATGACGATAACACAAATCTACAGTTTTACCGTATGAGAGAGGGACATCTGATACCCCACTCAGGATTCTCAATGAAGTAGGGACAATCTCTGTAGGTTAAAGGGTTCTTTAACAGTCAGACCAGTAGATCAGGGTTAGTCAGATTATCAGAACATAAGAATTTAGCTAAGGTTAGAATGACTCACACGAAGATGAGTAATTTAGAAGAAAACCTAGCAATTGCACAGCATGCACTGACACACAACCACACAATAGTGTGGGAGAGGGTTACAGTTTCGAAAAGTAACATAGGCAGGTGGTGAGATAGGTTGATTACTAGACCTTCGTTCATCGAATCTACACGCAACATGTGCAACAAGAATGACTCATCACTTATACCGGAGAAATGGAAAATATTTCTACCAATGAAATCAAGCGATGAGAAATAATGAAATTATATAAGCGAAGTTGGAAAGTTGTGTGGGAAACTTGATATGATTATAAGCAGTGATAAATTGTACTCGAAACGTGGTCATCAGTAAATATCACTGTACAACACTGTGAAACTTTAATAAAAGAAATCCCATTTGTTAATTTTTACCGGCTAGGCAGGATAGTCGTCATTATCTTCCATTGGATCTGATGTGTGAATCGTTGGCTTGTCTAGAAGATTGACAAATCAGTTTTCTCATAACTAGCGACATAATCGACCAATGGCTTGTCTTTTCTCAACCCTACATCATTGGCTCATGTATATATGAATATATATGTGTATATATAGTATACTATGTCCTTCTCTAAATATACTTTCCATCTCACCTTGTATATTCTCGCTTAGTACGTAGCGGAATGAGAAATCAAGTGGACATTATATCATTGTTGGAGTTGACAAGCAGTACTTGTGATCACCACGTCTGTGATAACTGAAGCATCGCCTACCAATTAATTCAACATTTTCTAGATTATGAAAGGGTCCTTAAAATGTTTTTTTATATCTAACTGTTGAAGAGCCATTAAGTCTGAGCTGGCCCTTTGATTTTTATATAATACATATTAAAACCACGAATACCAACCAGCCTTAACTACAAATCTTTTCTATTGCTGAACATATATATATTCATAAAGTGTATTCGAAAGCGAATGCGTTGATTTTAAGTCAACCATAAAAATAAGATTCTAAAATCATACATAATATCCTTAAAAAAAAACTCTTCTTGATCAGTTCAGACAACACATTTCTGTCTTTGCCTTTTTATTTCACTTCTCAAATTTTGTTATACATAATTATAATCACTCATTAGATAAAGATTAAAAAAGTGAAGTGAAGTGAAGCATATGTCACAAAATAATTAACACGTAATCTTTAATCGTCAGTGAAGTTCAGTGTTCACGAATATAACGTAACTGTACAGCTTTCAAAGAATTTATTGAAGAATAGAACATGATGGTAGTGAATAGAGAAATAACGAATAAATATTCGAATCAATTGGTTAGTTCTTTGTATTAAGGTTGAGTTGGTTAACCGCTGACTTGTTTTCCTCGATAGGTGACGGTGTGGTTGTAGCAAGAGAATAAATGCATCTATTTGACCGCTCATACATTTATTAATAGTCTGTGAACATTACAAAAAAAGGAATATTGCAATCACTTCATGAACAGATGATTGTATAAATATATTCATCAACATTTCAACCAAAATTCCATGCTATATTGTCAACTGGACGACGCTTAGTGCAGAATTTATTACTCATTTTTATATCAGTGTATTTTTTCATTCCTTTAAGTTCCCAGTGGAACATAGAGCCTCAAGATAGAGGATTGAAGTTTCGGTAGCAGTGGTGTTTATTTTTATGGGATGGGGTTGCTAGCCTCATGCCCAACCTTCCCTCTTTACCAGTCTTATTTCTGACTTAGCGAGGTCAAGGAATGCGTCTGCCGGGGATCGAACCCCGGACCACCTGCGAAGTCGGCGAGCACTCTACCGCTGTGCCACCGACGAACATATCAATGTATTTACACAACTTCATACGGTTATTCAGAGTGGTTTTGTGTCATTCATAATAGAACGTAATGGGTACTGAATTGATGAACAAGGATCGAACTCTGTTTCTCTGCACCCAGCTATGTTACCTGCCAATACTTTTACCCTGTCTCATCTAGTTGCATGACTGTATATTGCAGCATCTATTCCAATGGCCACGAATTTGTCTGAATAACTTATTTTAATGAGGCCTATCAGTCTGCATTTAACTGAAATTCTTTGTTCTAATAACCAAAATGACACTGGTTTTCTGATGTGATATACGTATTCGATTTAAACGTCATTACACTAAATTCCGTAGATAAAATTATTTTATCTAGCTGGGACAGTAAGATCCCTAGGCCGAAAATATTTGTTTCTGGATAGGTATCAGTGCCACCCTGATTCCAGCTTTATTTCTCTTGTGGTAGTATTATTAGGGTCTAAAATTTGTTATTCATCATATCACGATCATTACCTCTTTTACTTTTACTTATAAATTTTTGAATGACATTTAGTAAGTAGTTTTTGAGTAGTCGTGTTTTCAATATCTAGATTTTCTTACTTTCTTGTCAAGCTCCTTTATTTAATTAAACTTACATTTACAAAATATTGGATCAGATGATTTGGTACTCACCAGAATGTCATAGCTTTTTACATATGCTAAAATCTGTCTTCGTTTTATGTCGTATTCTACTAGCATACCTGATTCATTCTATTTGTTTTCTACCACAAAATTTTCCGAATTTTGCTGATTTGATATATTTGTGAAGAATTGATGACTTTCTTTAAACTTTGATACATTTGGTATGTCATTCAAATATATTCAACCATCCTTAGGAGAAGGATTGCATATGCTAAGAAACAAATCTGCAATTTGCAAACTAACGCGTGATTTAAAATCTACAAAGTTCGAATTAAGAGTTCATCATCCTTTTACTCGGAAATGAAAACTATTCAGATAACAGTATGTGATTTGCTTGATGTAATAAGTCATAACCAAGAAGCAATCAGGATTGGATGATGCTGTATACTACAGACTGCGAATTCGATTAAATGCGTCCCTAGTTCACGGAGTTAGTTAACAGAAGTTCGGGTTGTATGAATTGGTTCTGCTGTGTGAAGTACGTGAAATCGGCCTCACTGATGATAGGCTCGGTACCAAACGACAGAAATGACCGTCCACTATTTGGATCTGGCTAGCAAGCACTACTTATTCATTGGAGTCTTATCTAACTACTCATATTAATCGTTCAACAATATACAGTCTTGTGCAAGAAGGATTGAAGGTGTTACAATCCCATTTATCAAGAAATATATTTTCTACAAGTGATGATATTGGTGGTGTCCTTGCGACCCATTTTATCAGTCGCATTTTATATCTTGATATTTGAAGTCTGCAGAGGTCAGATAAAACTAAACAGCTATGGCTGTTTCTTTAATATTTTTCTTAGTTTTACCTGTGAGTTTCTGGTTTTCAGACCTTCGTCAATTTGAATATTAGCATAGAAACTTGTCACATCAAAGCTGATCGTTGTTTTTCTTCTGTTGCATTTGAATGTCCTTTAGTGTCTTTTTCGTTTTTAAGTAAACTATTTAGCCTAGAATAAGAGAAATTTCAAACAGCTTACAATACTGACTGAAATGACAAATGAAACAGTAGCCAGCTCTCTTTGAAACACGATAGTCTGTGTCTAAGTCTCCTATAAATTATCTCTGGAAAGTCTGAAACTAGAACCCAAATAATATTTAGTACGATTTCGTTTTTAGTGGTTGCTTAACTGACTGTTTTTGAAGACGAGATTCAATGCATTTAGCATATGTTGGAAATAGATGGGGTTAAGCATTTGATCAATAGAGAGAAAATACACTGGTGTATGTGCATATACGAAAACTCCAAATGAGACCTCTCAGAATATCATTCAAATGCCTAACAAAACAGTAACGTTTTGACGAACAATTGAATCACAAAATCTATAATTTCAGCTGCAGACATTATTTATGATTCCAGTGGTATACAACGAAGAGAAATGACAGTGACTATATTCCATTTTTCACAGCTCCTTACCTTATCATGTTAATCCTCTGTTTTTATCATTTCTCTTGATCTCTTTTACACCTTTTATGCGTTCTTCACCATCTTTAGACATTTTCTTTAGTGTACATTTACCAGTATCATATTTTGCTTGTATACCAAGTATAGGTTGACTGCTAGTAGTGGATGTTGTCTGACTTAAACTGGTTTTTGAAATAGGAGGTGCAGATGCATATCTGACATTTAAATTCCTTGGATTTGTTCTGTCAAACTTTTGATAAGAATGACTGTTATCTTCATTGGCACATCCATTTCGATCTTCTAATGGGCGTGAACTGTGAGTTAATCAAAAGAAAAAATAGTAATAGGCAAGATTTTAATGCACAGATAGTAATTTCGAAATGTTTCAGAGAGCTTTTTACCCCCGAATAAATCCTTAACAAACTGCAATACTTTGGCGTTTTGAGTAGTGATTACAATCGCTCTCAATCGTATAACTGCCTAAATAAGTAACAGAAGACGTGGAAATATAAGGACAGAAGCTTGTTTGTAAATTTGTAAATGCGCTATTGCTTAACTCATGCTGTAGTAATATAACATAACCTACAATCTTAAACATTTTCACCATACAACACTAGCTGAAAACCGAATCTTTGTAGCCAGTAGCTAAGTGTTAACCTGCTCGTAAAACAAAATTACAAAACTCAGTTGGATTCTCTGTGGACTTATGCACCTCTATGTATGAATGGTATTATTATTTCTCAATTATTTTTATTATTATTCCCTTGGGTTCACAGTGGAACGTAGGGCTTCAACAACATATCTCCACTTGCTTCTATTTTCAGATGTCCTCTTCATCTGGGCCTATGATTGCCTATGGTCTCTCATCTCCCTAAATGATCTCCTCAATGTCACCCTAAGACGAACCACTTGCAGCTTCCCATTTGGATTCCACTCCAGCGATGTCGTTCGACGGTCTTTTCTAAATCTGATCTATCCATCTTCATTTCCTTCTACATATTTGTTGAAAGATAGGTTCTTGGTTAGTCTGTTCCCATAGTTTCTTATTGCTACTTCTTTCTGCCCATTCAATCCTCACTATGGAGCCAGCGAAAGGGCAACTGTTGATAAGAGTCTGTAACTTGTTGGAAATCCTTTTCGTGACACGCTGGCCAAGTTTCTGATCCATACAGAAGAACTGACTGACTGACTAAATAATGGTGTTGAAAATCCAAATCTCTTTGTTTTTGCTGAAATGGAGTGCGGAAGGTCTCCAGACTGATTTCAGATTGATGAAGACGTATCTTGTCTAGCCTTTCCAATTCTGGCTAGCTTTGACATCTTCACCCGTGCCGGGTGCCCATAATTGAAATGGTGCTTCCTGGATAAGTATAAGGAAGTAACCTCTTTCACATTTCTCCCGTTGATAGTAATTGATACTGATTACTGCTGTTTTCAGTTGGTTACCTTCATCGCCATCGTCTTCCCTATGTTCACATGGAGTCCTCTCTTCGCTGCTTCTTTAGGCAATTTTTTATGTCTAAATGCTAACAAGCAAGAAAAAAGGTACTGTATGGTTTTTTCACTTTTTCACCTAGCATCTATTGTTAAACCTTAATGAATATACCCTGGTCCTAGTCAGGTGCTCAAAAATAAGCAAATGAATTTCTATATTTTTTAAATCCTTTTTATCATTTTAGAGAATTAGGTGATTTATGTGGCGTCGGCACTTCAACGGTAGACTATTGGCCAACCACTTCGCATACGGTCCGTGGTCCGATCCTCGGCCAACGAACTTCTAAACTTCGCTTCTCCAGAAATAAACCTGCTAAACAGGGAATCTCGGCCACGAGACTAGCAATGCCACTCTGTAAAAATAAACACTACTGCTACTGGAACTTTAAAGCTCTAGCTTGAAGCCCTGTGTTCCACTGGGGACGTAAAGGAATACAGTAAATATATAATATATATAAATATATATATATTTGCATCAAAATATATTAATATTATACAGAGTGCTTTGGGTTATTTGCTAATGAGTGTTAACTGGTTGAAATTTGATTGTAACAATTTAAACTTAGTGCATAACTTATTAATGGAAAAGTTCTGAGACCTTCAAAACTCTATTTAGTTATTCAGTATTTTATGCATAATACCTTTATAAAGCATTATATGTCCAACCATTTATTGTTTTATTTTTAAACTACAAAATGCATATTTAGGTATTACAACAATTCGTTCATCTATGATTCAAAACAACACCATTTCGTCAACAAAAATTTTCATTCAAAGTTAGAAGTAAGTGTGCATAAAGTTTTGCTTTCCCTACGTTGACTCTTATAAGGAAATTGGCTTTACATCTCTACAGTTATGACTGCTAACTGAATTTTAACGTTATTTGCTTCATGAGTTGACAGTGTTAAATAATGTAAGCCTTAACTCATAAATAAAGAGGATTTTTAATGGATGAATAGCTGGATGTCCAGCTCTTCAAATATTTATAATGTGGTTGCTATATGACTTCTGGATTTAATCTTGCTCAGGGTCGTGGTGATTTGTCAGGAAACAGGAAACAAAACCTGTTCAGCTGTCTTTGGTTTCCAAGAATTCACTAATTGCACTACATGAGGAACATCCATCTTTATTCAATTAGTCAAGTGAATGGATGTTGATCGTCAGTTACTGTTAAACATCATCAGGTTTACATTGTTTTGTAACTTACTTATCATTATTCTGCACTCTGGTGTCTTCATTGGTCAAACGATTGTCAGATAAATATGTACCTAAATTTGTACGATTTAATTTATTCGATAGATCCTTATCTTGTACTATGAATGAATTGCTTTTCTTTTGTATAAGATTTTTTAATACAGACATTTCATTGATTCGATGCATGTCTGCTGCCTCAGACTGGGTATGGTCCGGTTGGTTTTGCTCCTGTTGCTTCTGTTGCAGTAAATAACGATAATCAGGTGATAAGGGTTTATTAAGCTGTTGATCTTCATTTGACAGTGTTCTGCTCAAGTGCATATAATCAGGTCTACCATATGTGCCTGTAATGAAGTGCAAATTACGCTGAAGTGAATGACTAACATCAGATATCTCACTTGAAGCTCTTACATTTCTTGGTGGATAATTTATCAAAATTTCATCTGGTAAACTGAATTTTACTTTGGATAGTCGATCTTTTGAATAATTACTGGTAAACATTGGTGAATAATGGCTGTGAACATGATTGTTCAGGTTTACTTGAGATGATTCTTCAAGCATTGAAGACTTAGTTAAGTGTTCAATACCAGCAAGTATGCGATACTTTTCAACCTGATTTTCTAATGCTTCAATTCTGTCCGTTAGTTGGCATACTTTCATAACACCTTGATTTTTTACCTAAAATATATGAAAACAATTTATTTTGACAATTAAAGTACTGACATTAGGACCATGAGATGTAGTTTTCAACAGCTTATAAGGCGAAATTCATTACAAATGGACGCCGCCAACAGAACCAACTAAGTGTTAGGAAGTAAGAAACGACAGTCATGAGACAGACCACAATCATGGAAAGACAGTCTTGTTTGAATCCGAGCTTTATATGTCTGAAGAATAACGCCAAATTTAGTTAGCTCATATGAATCGGTATGAAAGTTGAATACCATTGATCTAAACTAAATGTCTTTCCCAACTGTTTCTCGTGGAATCATATCAGCGTTATAGTCACGTGTATATAAGCCAAAATAATGAAGCCGTATAACTCAAATGAATTGAACTAGAACATACTGCATCCTTCTTCTTTTATTGAAATGTGAGCAATTCATGATGAAGGACTGCATTTGGCATATCAAACATTAGTCCGCTATAGTAAGGATTGTAAACATTATTGGGCTTACCTCTTATCACTTGATACTTTAGAAATTATTACTTAGAATCCCATGTAGAATCAATTCTATAAGTGTCATACCTAGCATCGAAAATGTTATGTTCTATTAGTAAGCTAGAATCCAATAAGTAAATTCCTTAAACCTTAGGGAATCAGTTATATAGTGCAACCAATGAAGGCCATCTCTAGGTAACTGTTCAGATATTATGCTCGCTCGAACCTGCTAACCACCAGTCTTGTTTAAAAATTCCATTGGTGTGTTTAGAAGAAGTCCGCTAAGTGGAATGGGAATCGTTGCTTACTTAACTCTTATATTCATGAACAATAGGTTAATTCTTAAACAACTACTTTCCCCAATAAAAATTAGTCGGGTCATAAATCTAGTAAGTTTAAATACCTGAGACTTTAAACCAGGAAGAAATAGCTACACAGACATGTTTCATTCTCGCCAAATCCTTAAGTTGTTCTCATTTATGATGAAAACCATTATGAAACCTGTCGATACGCCTAGAAATGTTCCACCAGGAAAGCGAGAACACTTCATCCCTTTTTTATGAAAACAGATGTTGATTATTCAATGAAATGCAATGAAAAGACTCATCACAGATTACCTATAATGATAGTAATTTCAACTATGTCATTCTTACCTTTTAAATCTTTATTTTTAGACATGTTCATGTTTAAATTTCTTTTTACCAAAACAGTGTTTTTCTTTTAATTAATTAATCCTCTTAAGAACCTCTATTTTGCTTTTGTCTCAATATAGTCAGTATTAGTGTTTCTTATGATTTTATGAGCTTGTCTTCTGCTTGACATGAAGCAGCATCCTAAGTTTCAACATTCTAAGGTTGCTTCTGTCACTAACCAATAACCACTGGAGACCACTGGGGACCAGATTCTTGCAACGTCCGTGTTTAGGAATATTCAGTTGTCTGAGTCAATAACTTTACTTAGGATCAAATTCCGAATCACCAATTCACGAGATGCACTCACTACTATTGAACTACAGAGTTGAAACCAAGTCAACCACGAATTTAAAGTTCTGCCGATTAACAATTCAAGACTATTACTATCTTGTATCATTGATAAAAACGTAGACTGTTAAAATCCTTCTGTTGTTAATGGGAAACGTTCTTTTGACATATCCCGAAAGTCCGAAGACAGTCTCTGATGAGGTCATGAGTTTTTATATCTTATGAGTCTTAAAGGGGGGAAACAGACTTTCATTTTTACTAGCTCTCTAAGCTAGTTTCTGTTCGTGATGAAGTCAATCTCTAGATTATCTATTCAAATTCAACAACTTGCCAACACCTTATTTTCTTGAGTAGCATTCTCAAGGAACTTTACTTGCTTTAAAATATAATATTGGTGGTTTACTGAACTCTGCTTTTCTCCATCGACCTTTCTTTCCCATTTTCTCTTTCAAAGTGGTGTGATAAGTTAGATGATGTTTTTCCATCAACAGTTATCCATAATTAAATGACTGCTCTTTTATATTTAGTTATGTTTTCTCAGCTGGTTGATTTAACTGTGAAACTTTCACCGTCCTTCTAGACAATATCTTCAGTTTAGGTTTTAGTATAAAATGGACTTATGTGAATTCTCCATGAGTGATGATATAATTGTATCATATGGCAACCATTGTCGTGAACGGTTGTTAATTTGCGTCTCTGTTGGTCATTTGTATTGACTTGGAGTTTAAACTTTCTTCTCATGTGATTTTTCTCAGTAGTTGGTAAATTTGTTCCACAATAATATGTTTGTTAATCGCTGATTCCCCTGAGTACCAGGCTTCTAGAAATTCTCTGGCATTTTCGATGTTCTCTGTAAAATTGGGGTCCATGATTGTCTACATGAATTGATATGAAAGAATACATATTGTGCCTTCTCACAACTAATTCATGTTGTTGGATTCGCACTTGAAGGGAACACCCCACTTTTGACCGATGTAATATTTATTGCTGTTCCTACAATTTATTTTGTAAATGGTATTAATTTTCTCTTTTTCTTTTGGATCGCAATGAAATCAACCAGCCCAGGGAACACAACTAAATCAAAATCATCCACCTGAGCTACAAATCTTCTCCATTATTTCTAAAGGATTGCTCATTAAGTCCATTTTTAGTTGCTAATGCGATGACATGGTAACAGTCTGTTCAGTGAAACATTAGGTAGCTAAAGAATCAATCGGGTACATTATTTATAACTACAGATTGCCATTCTACAGAGGATGAAAGAGAATCAAGAGACACTGAATCACATTTTTCTGTCTTCACGTACCATCAATAATGCATAGAACGGAGCTAAGGATATTCGATTTTCTTGATAAACACCTTATCACTCATTAATAGAGTCTGAATCAAATGAATTAGACTATTCCACAACATACATAGTTATTGCTGTATTATTCTTATTCCATTTGGTAACCAATAAACATTTGTAGCAAAATAAAACTAAGACCTATCAATACGAACTTTTGAGGATAAAGTTATATAATTGAACAATAGTTACCTTAAATAACTGTAGTTCATGTTCCCTTGTCAGTCTGTCAAGCTCATACTCGAATTCTTTGTGAAGATTGACCAAGTGGTTGTGAAGAGCTATTTGAAATGTTTTGTATTCACCGGTCTGTTGACTTTGTTGTTGATGTTGTTGTTGCTGTTGTTCCATTTGATGTGATACGTCATATTGCTCACCGTCATCCTTTGCCGTAACGCTTGTCTCACTAAACGCAGTCCATGTATACTCCATATTAAGCTGGTTGTCGTAGGATTAGAAAATTACAACTATTTAAATATATTTAGAAGAAACATTCATCTTGTGTTTATGCTAGAATATCTCAGATACCTTCATTCATTTACCAGACAATTTAACATGCATAATGATATCTCAGAACTGCTGAAATTTTATTCTACTAAATCATTTTAAACAGGTTCCTATTGAGTTCAGCCTCTGTCTCTCACTGAAGATACTGAATGGGACTAGGAATTTAACTATGAACTGATGAAACCTATAAGTCTGTGAAATTAGGTACAACACGTTATTTTTAAAAATTATTTTATTCCTTTACGTTACTAGTGGAACATAGAGCCTCAAGATAGAGGCTTGAAGTTTCGGTAGCAGTGGTGTTTAGTTTTACGGAGTGGGATTGCTAGCCTCATACCTAACCTTCCCTGTTTACCAGTCTTACTACTGCCTTAGCGAGGTAGGGGAGTATGCCTGCCGGGGATCGAATCCCGGACCACATGCGTGGTTTGCGAGCTCTCTGCCGCTGTACCACCAACACACGTAAGCGAATAATATTATTTTCAATTAGATCCAATCAGGCTTTGCTCTAATTTAAATAACTTTAAAAATAAACTAGTCACAGTAATTTCTCCATTGGATAATAAGTTTGTGCATATAAATGAGCAACAACTTATGATAATAATCGCAATTCTATTAACAACAAAGACGAAAAACTGGAGCAACTTGTGACAACACGGATAATGAAAAATTGTGTGATTAAATTAACAAATATTGATTTATACGTATAGAAAGAGGCTAAGAGAAACAAACAGTCAAATTAAGTAATGCTACCTTCTAAGGAAAGCAAATAAGTTATGCTTTGATGAAGGTGCAATAAGATTAAGAGTTGATATATATATTCATATACATAACGGGTGGCAGCAGTTTCATCACATAATTAGCCTGCACAATTGAATCATCCAAATGAAAAATCACTATCAATCGACTTATATTTAATATTTATTTGTACAGCTATGTATATTACAGGAAAACCATGCGAGATCTAACTGAAAACAATATTGTTCGATTTCGAGTAATTTATTTATACTCAGGAAAGTAAAGCTTTTCCAAAAAATTATATACTCACTTCCTTTAGGCCACATTTTTACAACTACTATAAATCAAATAAGTAGTATAGATAATAGCAGTAACTAGGAGTTTTTAAATGTTTCCTGACAAATGAGATGACAGCCGGGTAATAAAACGCATTTTTATCACAGTCACTTACATTCAGAAATTCAAACATGTGAAACACAAATTAAGACATTCCAATCGTAACTGCTTGCTGTTAGTGAATCAGAGCGAGAGAATTTACAATTTTGGAATACGTCGTAACGATAAGTGTAAACACCTAAATGATAAAGCTTCTGATTGTAGCATTAATTATTCGTGTTATTTGTTCGCCTGGGAACTCATAGTAAACTGGAGTGACAAAATGAATTTACAGTGATTAATTATCAGATTTAATTACTGCAACACTTTCCAATGCTTGCTGTTAACGGGATCCTATCAGTCATCTGTGCAATCTGGTCACCGAGGTAGGACGATTGTCACTTTGACGCATTTGGAATTGTTGCTAGGGTGTTAAATAAAGTTATCAGAAAATCCTGACTGTCAGTCTGCCATTTTGCTGATCACATTAAGAACTTGACTGGTACCACTTATTCAGGACTAGGGACTGGATAAAATATAACTGGTGAAAAAATACAATACAAATATGTTTACAATGGACTGAATGCAATCAGTGTATCCATTGAAGTCTTAACGGATGTCGACTGTGATCTGAATAGCTTAGTAGTAACGTGTGTGAATGCAACACTGGATGACAGAGGTTCCATTCTCATTGGGTGAAAAGTTAATAATCCAAGTCAGATAGTATAAAAAAAATCAAGGAAGGCAAGTCTTTTCACTACACTGTCCTTTATTTTATTTTGGTAACTAATGAAGAAGTGTTTTGTTTTTATTCTGAACATGGAAGAAAGTGTATAACTTTCTCGAAGTCAAACCAACTAGAAAGAAAACATTTACAAAGTCTTAAAGTTAAACACAGTTTCCCCATCTATTGGTTTCTTAAACATCATCTAATATCACTGTACAGTTTACTCTAGCCTGATAAAAATTATCTTCATGGCTTCGATAAAGACATCTAGAATTGGTGGCAATCAAGAGACTAACTCGCGTATAAGACACGGAATATTAAAGTGTGGTCATAAAGAAAGCAGTGAATATCCATTATGCATCACTACAGGCGATAAGGCTGTTCATTGTAGGTGTATGTTTAAAAGTATAGGAGTTGGAATTAATTATACATTGTACGACATTTAAAGCTACAGAAGCGGTAACTTAATTGAAATACTGAACTTATATATATCCAGAAGACAGTATTGATATTGCTTGTTAAGTGCCCTCATAGAACATAATCCAAAAGCCTGTGTTTAAGTGAATTCGGAACCTATTATCTGAATGTATGCTCATATCGGTGAGTGATAATGTTCGCACTGAAGCTCCAATTCGACCCATGTCTTTTCAGACGTCAAAGGTTTGTTTGTACTGAATCACTAGGACTAGGTCATCCAAAGATAAATGATGAAACTCAAGACATCTTGAATTCAGTAATTTTTGCAGATGGTAAAAGTGATGGTGATTTACAAAATGCACATTCATGAAGAACTATTGTTTAAATACGTATCTTGGTTGAAAAAATATCACTGCTCTTTTCGTGCACAATTTCTAAAAAGATTTCATGCTGTCGTCATGAAATTCTGTGCATTTTAGAATAGTAATCATAGCTAAATTTACCTCAAATGTTTCTACAGGATCACTGACTGAATTCTCTTCCGCTGGTTCTGAAATATTTCGTTCTGAATCACGACTGAAAACAGGAAATGGTTTACCGGATGTTACGGAAGATGATGTTGAATTGATCGGTTTAGATTTTGAGTCACGCCTGAGTACACCGAGCCTCAGTAAACAGTTACAAAACTGACACACGACAGATATTAAACTATAACTCCAAGGACATCCAGATTGGATTATCTGCCTACAAAACCATTGTACCAAAGTTTGACCTACAAAAATTAAAGTAAAATGTAAAAATAAGACATTATCATGGAAATAAGTTGATAAATATGGAATACATTGCTGAAGAGAATGAAGATACCATCTTAGGAACATACCGATGTTTTTACCATCATTACATGTACGTTACATAGCCTTTAATATGTTAATTGATGGTGAAATTAAAGCCCACATTGCAGTGCTATAAGAGTTGTTGACTATGTACTACAATGACTAAGCTAAAGTCTAATAATAAGTCTTTAATTTTATTGTGATTACAAAAGGATGTGGTTAGCTTTTAAGCTGGTACATAGTAATTCACTTTACGTCTATGATCAAAGTATGAACATGAATAAAGCTCAATAGGTTCCTCTTACTCGTTTTACGTTTATGAACGAAACCAACTGTGTAATTACAAAAATTTGATCTATTTTTATCCACTATTAGTAGTAGGAAAATCCAATTCATACCCTGTTTAGTGCTGAAGGTGACTATTTACATATAACCTCATGGATTTTCAATTTCCGCGAGTTTCAGGTACTTTCTTATGGGTTCAATATTGATTCGTCATGAAATTTATTAAAAAAGTAATCAGTTTGACTTGCAGGAAGGAAATGATGTCAGATTCAGTAGTTGATTGTTCCTTATAGATACAATAGATATATGTTACATTTTTCCTTCGTTGTTTATTATGTATTATGAATGCATTACTCTCACATCTACTTGATTTTATTTTTCTACTATCAGTTACAAAACTTCATGCATTATTCAACTTTATTGGTTATTTCATTTCTTTTATATAAGTTGAAACTTCACGCTTCATGTGATTACATTTTACAGGAGAATATATCTGGGAATAAATGAAGTTCAAACGTGATAGGGTAATAGGTGTAAATTCCCAGTTTCGAGAAGTATTGAATGATGAAAATATGTGTTGCATTAGCGATAACTCGAGTCTAAAACATCCTTACTGTTATCAATATTATTATGTCCCCGAGCGGAACATAGGGATTCAAAAACACATCTCCACTCCGATCTATTTTTTGCTGTCCTCCAAAGCTGAGTCCACGATTGTCCATAACCTCTCATTTCCTCCTCACACGATCTCCTTCATGTCACTGTCAGATCACTCTCAGACCCATTTGGGTTTCACTCGAGCGATGGCCTGCACTGAATGTAACATCATTTGACAACCTCCTCAGTGTATGCCCGGTTCATCTCCATTTTCTCTTTGTTGAGCAGTCGGCTCTTGATTCGTTTGTTTCACTGCAGAGTTTCTTGTTGCTGATTCTTTCTGGCTGGTAGGCCATTTGATCTTCAATATGAAAGCAGAGAAAAGGGCAGCTGTTGATAAAAGTCTGTAACTTGTTGGAAATTCTTTTCATGATGCACTGACCAAGTTTCTGACCCATACAGAAAAACTGACTAACTGGTTGACTTCACATTTGTGTTGAAAATCCGAATTTCGTTCTTTATGCTAAAACAGGAGTGCAGAAGATTTCCAGACTGATTTCAAATTGATGAAGGTGTATCTCGCCTTTTCGATTCTGCCTGGCTTTGATATCTTCACCCGTTCCGTGTGCCTGTCGTTGAAACTATGCCTCGGATAAGTAAAGGCAGTGACCTCTGTCAAATCCCTCAACTTGGTGGTAATTGGTGCTAGCTGTTGTTGGTGGTAGTTGGTTATCTTCATCACCTCCAACGTCCCTCTGTTTACATGAATTCCTGCATTCGCTGTCTGCATCGTCAGCCATTTTGTTGGTTTTCACTAGTAAGTCTTCTAGTTTGTGTGACCTTCAGCATAAATCATCCACGCGCGAAATCCAGATCTTATAAAGTCTTCTTATCGGTCCAACATATTCCTGTCTTCTCACTCCCAAGCACAGTCTTCCTCACAAACCAGTTCACCAGAATTAAGAATATCTTCGGCGATAATAGTCGGACAGATTTGTCTTACTCCTGTATTCGCTTCAAACGCCTCTCTGAGTTTTCCCCTGTGGGTCACTTGACTGATACATGGCCCTGCCATATAGTCAGGTGTTGAATGAGGTTGTTGGAGATTCAAAGCACACCGTTGTGTCGAAGAAGTTTCCAAGTTACTTCGCGGTCAACCTTGTTAAAAGCCTTTACAAATTCGATGAAACTGAGGCAGAGATTAGACTGCCATTGTATACTTTGTTCGATGATGCTGCATAGACTTGCAAGTTGACCGACATGTGGCTTCCCTTTCCTGAATTCAGCTTGTTCGAGTAGGCGTCGAATCTGTATCCAGTGCTTGCTCTGTTCTCTCCAGGATGACGCAATTTAGTATTTTACCTGGCATGGACAAGAGTGCTATTCGTGCCAGTTCTTTTAGAGGCTCTTCTTTGGCAGTTTCCCACGGCAACCAGCCTTTCTATCAAACAGCAGTACTTTTCTTTCCTTCCAAACGTTTTTGATGAGAGTTAGGGTCACGTTATGTCTCAAAATTCCCTCCTTAATTAATCCAGATATGAATTTTAGGTTAGATTACGTGGAATGGCCTGTTCTCAAGGTAGTGATTTACAAGATACTGTCATTAATTGACTCTCTCAGTCGGCAGACGGACTGGCTAAGATTGCAACTTTTTGTCCAATAATTTGAATCCTGCTGCTATTTTGCTGTACATTTGGTGCGTTGATTTTGAGCATAAAAATAATGAGGCATTAACTCAGGGGAAAATGGAACAAAACTTCCTTTCTTCTTCAGTATCTAAGTTTTACGCTTCCCAAAGATCAGTCTGGAATCGAAAACTCGAAGAACTTTGAGAAGAATTTTGTTCAAAATCTCAAAATGTCGTTTTATGTGGAATCACACTTCATTAAGCAGATTCTGGAAAATTACCACAGCTGGAATTAGAGGAGTTTTACAACAACTTTTGACCAATATTATCTTCACTTTAAAAGCGAGATAAATTCGTTATCAGTTTTTTACGTTGATGTACATGAAAATAAAATTTAATATTTAACAATGAAAGGACAACATCTCATTACAGGTCCTTTTTTCAACGTAAAGATATATCCGCAGAACAGCTTTTATAGAAAAACGTACTTCTCATTGATTTCAAGATTAATTCCGCTGCAAACACAGACTGACTAGAGAATTGTTGCAAACCGAAGTATAGTGGAGAGTTATGTTATCCCAGCTTGGGACTTTTGAACACGATGTACCAAAAACACTACAATGTATTGAGTCCAGTGTATTTTGGTTTCAGATAAAGGATATTACTTTTTACTGAGGGAATTGAAATGAAAAACTTCAGTGACTATAATCAGTGGTTATAACGACTAAGTCTACTTTGAAATAAGCTAATTATTACATTGATTCGTGTAAACGCTGATGGATAATTTACTTGATATTATTATAAGCAATAAATATCGTATGCTGGAAACATCACCTAGTAAATAAAACTCCATCATTATGTATTACAACAAATAAACAAAATAACATGAACTTGTGTTCGACTACTAAATATTCACTTCAATAATAACACTAAGTAGTATTAGACGAAGTAGTCCCCGGCATTAACTTTGAACACTATCAGGCACTACTAAGTCATCCATTCTATAATATTGTATGCCTTACATTTCTTACATTTATTAATTTTTTGACAGAAAATTTTCTAGTTTTAATTTTTTAAGTGTCTCTTGTCTGAATTCACCAAATCACATGAGCAGAATAATTATGTGCATTGCGTGACTACACTTTTTGTAGTTGGGTTGTCTTGATGACAATGAATTATCGGGAATGAAATAAGATGTTTTTCCTGATTTACGGCATTAATCTGGTTATGCCTCCCTGAAATTAATGTAACATATAATACTGTTATATGATTTTGGAATGATTGATTATTTTTGGTGTGTGTAGTATTCGCTAATTAAATGAAGCACTTGGGGGGGGGGGGAGTAAAGCTTAACAACACCAAAAATATGATGTTCACATAGACTTAGCACATCAGACATAGAATACATATGTTTTCAGGATTTGATTATAAGCTGATATCGGTTAGAGAGCCAGTGGAAGGCCTGAGAGTTCTGGATAGCTGTTTCGTCCTAGTTAGAGACTATGGAACAAGATGCACACACCGGGGTTGGATCCCAGTACTGTCCGATTACAAGGTTAGCGAGCTCGCAGACCATTGAGTCACTGGGACTTGATCCAATGGCGCATGGCTATATCGGGATGTTGCAGAAGTTAGAATTCATGGGCTGGCCATTGGGTCAGGTCCCAGTGCCTGAATTATTTGCGAGCTTGACTTAAAACCGAAAGGTCCTCGGTTTGATTCCCGGTAGGCGTATATTTATGAAGAGTCCCAAACTAAGCTGATACAGGTGTCCAGTATACTGAGGTTTCCTAATGGTTCTCTAGCCGATGTCATCTCATGACAAAATCCTGTACACCATCAATTGAATCTCTGTAAACCAATAATTGAAAATATATTTTCATTTACACAAAATAATTTCAAATTCCATGCATTACAAATCATGACAATATCTATTCATATCTCTTGAATGGATGAATTTAAATGAAGATTAACGTAGTTGGAGCTTTACTTAAGTATTATAACAGTGATGAGGATATATGTATTTATTATTGTTGTTACCATAATTATCATTCTCCAGTTTTCCTAATAAATAATATTTTCATTAATCTAATATCTGGTTTCAATTCTCAGTTTGATTCTTAATACTGACTTTATCAAGTACAGTCACGTTATTTCCTCTGTAGACCATCTGTATATTCTGAGTAACTTATGTGTCGCTCGGTAGCTCGTCGATAGCGTCCTATGGGTACTCTCTTGTCACATTTACGACGTTAAGAAAAACGAAATGTCAAAAAGTGTTCACAAATGTTTGATCTGTATGAACTAGTTCAGTTACAGCCTGAATTTTGTCGCCAGCATACACCACGAAGAAGTAGATATCTAGATTCTGAACCGGTTAAAAATTACTCAATTAAAAACTTGCCAGCATCGATGCAACCTCAGCATCACTAGGTTCCTATGAAATAAGGAGATTCTTGAAGAATCATTCATTTAGAAAGTGATTTTTTGTATATGTGTTTACTTCCGATATTCTTGATCACAATTATGACTCACTCTGTCTTTGTATCTTAAGTCGATTTTACATAAATTTACTAGTAACACAGTGATAGTGCAATCTTAGTTAGTTTTTTAATGGTGTGGTTATAATTTCTTTTCAAATATATATATATATATATATATATATATATGCGAACGACTTTGCTGCTTCAGTCACAGTTATAAAGCATAAATTACTAAGCTTACCTGAGAAACTGTTTGATAGGTGGATGGGTTCATTTTGGTCGGATAAGTTTCTTTTCAGTGTCTGTGATAAAACTGGTTTCTTGAGAAAATCTTCAACAAATTTCTCACTTCTTAGCTCATTAGAATTGCAACCGTTTGATGGAGTTGCTGTTATTGTCGTTTGCGTTGTCAACTCAGCTGATGTTAAATGTAACTGAGACAAACTTACTGCGGCGGCAGATGTTGAAGCCAGTGAAGTTGACACTGATGACATTGAACGTCCAAGACAATGTCCATTTACAAACCGGTTGTGATTAGTATTTTCAGACAATGAAAATGCTCTATGATCTAAGAGTAAATTATTGTCAACTGTTGTTTCTTTCTTAAGACGATTTCTTCTTAATAATGTTGATGCTGTAGACATCTGCCGCCCATTTGAACTTGAAGGTAAAACAAGAAGAAGCATGATTTATGTACTGTAACACATCATCAGTATGTTGAAGACAAAAAGCACGATTCTTAGATATCCAACATGATATGCAATTCACTTCACTTATATTAATTTTTGTAAAAAGGTCATTTTTTCTTCACTTATGTAGAAATATCCTCTAAATGAGTGCCAACAAGTACGAAAACTAGTCAGAGAGAAGCTTTACTTGACTAACTGGTAAATTTTTAAATATCTGATTAATGTATCTTTAAAGCGCTATTAGATCGTTTTAAATTAATTTTCAAATGACCAACTGAAAACAGGAACGTTAATTGACGACCACAAATTGAGAACGATTATTGTGTGTCCATCATTCAACATAATAATCCATAAGCTAAATTGAACAGTAGATAAATGTGAGAAAAATTAGAGTAGTGTAACCGCGTAAGTTAAATTAAACCAATAATTCATTATAACTATCCATTCTCTGCTTTCTGAGTGGAACATGGGACTTCAAAAGCATATCTTCATTGCACTCAAACGATTCCACATCCCCCCATAACCTTTTAGATGTTATTCAAATGGTATCCATGTCATCTCGGACCCACGCCCACACATTCGCCTCCCACTAGGATCCTATTCGAGGGCCTAGAATGTGTGATATCATTTGAAGATTTCCACCTCCATTTCCTTCTGCATATATGCTGGATGCTAGGTCGTTGGGTCATTAGCTGCCAGAGTTTCTTACCGTGTAACCTTTCTCACTAGATGTCTGATATACAGTGTCGTGAGTAAACAGCTGTCGGTGAAAGTTTGCAGCGGACTGTTGAAAGCTGTTTTGGTGACGCGCCAAATCTGTGAACCATATTGAAGCACCGGCTTAACATTAATGTTGAATATTATCACTCTGTCCCTTTTGCTAAGTGCTGTAGATCTCCTCTGTAATTTCAGAGCAGTAACTGCCTATACTGGTCCCCCCGGTTGTTGCCGTCTATGACGTCCCCAACCATGCTCCTTGTAGTCAGAAAACTGGTAGTTTGAGTGTCAAAAAATAAACATTAAAGTGAGATGATTCACAATAAGGCGAAATAAAGCAGAATATGAAAGATATAATATCTTGTCGATTATCACTCTCCCAACCTACTTTCAGTTAGGTGTAGGTGGAAGGCTTCGAACATTCTTCCTAAGTTTGTTGATTGTGGTTTAACTCGCATAATCCGTCTTCATTACACTCATACATTGACGTTAACAACTTCACAGACTGTCATATCTATGTAACTGATGACCCTACTTTTTGTATTTAAGATTACTTTTAATTTTTACTCTAATCTGTACCATCTAGAAAGACACTTCTGCACAAACATGAAGAATGGTCTCTCATCTGATGCCTTTCACGATTACTATGATCACATATTCACGTGCTCTACTATTTTAAAATAAGTATAACAAACTGCTGTTTCTTCCACTCAGAGTTGTATAGTTTATCCAATTTTAATAACAGTAGAGAAAAACTAGAAATAAATGACGCAAAATCTTGTCTGTTATACTTGTAATCCTTCTAACTCTTTCAAAACTGTTAAGAAAACTTAAAGTTTGTAAAATGATAATTACAGAGGAAGCCTAGAAAGAAAACAGTGTGAACATATACTTTCAGAAAAAAGGATTTTTTTGTAATGAAAAAAAGCTTCAGTGAATATGATAAGTCTGACGTTAATAAATAGAATTTCAACAGTACTCACTATGAATCGATATCACCACGGGAAACAATTAAAAATCAAGATTAAAGTAGTTGTTTCATTTTGACTTTTCGTTTGTTCTCACTACTTACTTTATAATGGGTCGTGTTTAGTGAGCTTTAACTGAAGCCTGGTAGTGAATACTTAACGACTAAGTTACAGAGTCAAAGTTCACTGATTTATTGGACGGCAGCTATTCACCGCCCTTAGTGACCGTTTGTACTTATAATTTGAATGTTTGACCTCACCATTTTCTGATCAAAATTCTGTGGATTTTGATTCAGAAATTAATCTGGTTTCAGGCGACTGATACCGTCTTGTTGACTAATATGAATCTCTTTGATTTTGAGTATAGTTATATTAGGCTGAAAAAATTCTGGAAACTTAAAACTACCCAATGTTTGCTTTATTTAGTTCCGAAAAGTATCGTTCCTAAGAACCAAGAGTTATGCCATTTATCAATTTATTCATTTAAAAATTCAGTTAACTATGACAAAGAACAAACTTCTGATTGTGTCATCTTCATGTGTATCCTTTCAGGCAGATTCATTTTCATACCAGCTAAATTTTATGTTCAGTAATTGGTTGATTCAATAATCAATGCCTGTTTTTTTTCACAAAGGTATAATGTAAACAATTCCAGTGTATTTATACTGGTGTGAAATACAATCTATTCCTTACGCCACCCCTACCCCCTCCTAAGAAAATGCACTTTCCGTAGCTTATGGACAGGTATGTAGTCATGTTTATGTACATTGCAAAATAAAATACATGCAATGTCTATCATAAGTTATTATATAAAAAGCAGAAAAATAATTCAGTTTATTCATAGTTAGATAAACAATCTACTTTAGTCTAAAGTAATAAATAAATAATATCAGCATTAGTAAGTAGTACCAGGGAAATAAAACTTGTATTCTTTATTTCTCTGTATATTCTACTAGCATTATTGTATCGATAGAGGACCGAAAAAAACACAGCTTAAGGGAGTGTGATGAATTAGTCCATATCACTAGCACATATTTGTGACTGGCATGAATGAATAGAGAAAACACCAGGTAAATGGATGACTGGATGAGAACGAGAGAATCAAACCTTTCAGTAGCCTGAATTGTGATTTCGACTTAAATCTACATCTGTTTCGAAGGTGAAAACGTAAGCATTTCTTTGAAACTTAACGGAAGGAATGAGTCTTATTAGTTATGTCTTTTCCAATCTTGCAATAGCGAACTACACATGGAATGCACAAAAATAGATGTACATATCACTGATGCTGAAAATAATCAATAATAATCAACAGAGAAAGTTGTGGATTGACTAGGAATTTGTTGTCACTTTCTAACCTTAATAATAACTGATCATTTTTCAAAGTATTTATTTGTTACTTAGACTGCTTTGTTTACTACGGCTGTATTCCTCTTCAATTTCAAGACGATACAGTTATCATCACACAATGTTCATATTCTGATTGTCATCTTCACCACTTACTATACACACTCCACACTGGTAGATTTCTAGGTCATCATGTAGTTGCAGACAGTTTATCTCAGTATACTGTTAAAGTGCATTTTGGACAACCTGGATCTTATGTCATTGAAGTGTCTACTATGTTCCTGCGCTTTCTGCTAAGAATAACTGGAGATAGAGAGTTTATTTATACCTGTTTTCACAGAGCGGTTGCTTATTTATTTTGTTTTTTATACACCTAAAGGGATTCCTTTCCGTGTGACATCACTGAACCTAACAGCGATGATGACGGTGCAATTCACCTCAGTAATTACATACGTAAGTGAAGGCGGCCAACAAACAACAGTATAGAGTTCATTTTGGATATTTTGCCAAATGATTCACTAAGCCTAAATTAAAATCAGGTGGGTTTCAATGTTGGATTATCTGGCCCAGACAGCATATTGTAGACTGAATACTGTACACAGCATTAACACTAAAATTATATTTGAATCTCCTTCGCTCAGTCTTAAAAAATAAGAATACAGACCACTTTTTGTACTTACCCACCTAATGTTGCTTTTTGTTCGCCTTCATCCAGAGAAAAATTTTGTTGCCACAATGATTTACCGAAGTTATATCCACGTTGGGAAAATATCGATCGAAATGTTGAAGGGACATCGTTCCGTTCTTGACTAAAGAGACGCGGCTGTTGTGAGTGACCATTATTATTATTAGCAGTTGTAGTAGTAGTGGTGGTATTAGTGTTAGCACATGAAGTATTACTACCACGAAAATGGTGTTCACTTTGTGCTCGATAAAGATACCTCTGTTGACCAAATCTTTTATTAAGTTGTGTTACATTGATGTTGTCGTTCGCTGAACTTTGGCCACCTGTAAATGTCAACAAACCAGTTGAAACTGAAGGTCTACTTAGTTGTCTTGCATTCTGTATGACTTCATCGACTGGCCGATTTCTAAAAGATTTGTTAAACAAATTATTTAATAACAATTTCCCATCTTCAGTCTTTGTTACATCAGTTGGACCGACTGTATTCGATCGCCTCAGTTGTTGTCTTGAAGACAGATTTGACGGATTCCCTTTTATTAAAGATTTGATTGCATCTTGTTGATTTGATGATAAAGGCCATCCATCAATTGATTTCGTATCTTTAAGTCCTCCTTTGAGAATAGACTGTTTACAGGAGTTCAATGCATTTGTTCGTCTGTTGAACATTTGGTCTGAAGACAAAGAATCAAGATTTGATGACTTTAGGGATGCAGTGGTCACTTCTGAAGGAGTTGAAGACAAGTATTGTTCCAGTGTATAATTTGGTTGTGAATGAGACATTGATGTTGTTTTACCTTCACGTCTGACAGCTTCCACTTATTACTGAATTCATTTGAGTAGAGTATATGAAATGGAAGAAAAGAATTAGATTGTTTAAAACTTGTTATTCGAGGTATAATGATAAAAGAGAATTTTGCTTTGAAAACATAACTGAAGAGGGCATTATGAAGACCATCTCGCCTATCAATTAAACGTTGCAACATGCATTTTCCATGACCAGCTAATAAGTGGAGCTACGGCTTCCTAGGAGAGACATCGAATGGTGAACTTTGCCTCTCCCATATTGGCATCCATAGTTGAATAATTTAATACATTAATGATTTCTTGATTACAGCATCGCTTTTGTCAAACATACTGAAGGCAATAGTCATTTGTTGAAATATAAACCAAATCAACATAAAACAAAATCTACAAAAGTAAAGTGAAATAGTCGAGTGATATTTGTGACAAGAAAATAAGAATATTCCCAATGGAATTTTTCTCTTTCTACTTATTCTTCAGGAAAAAAACCTACGAATCTCGTTTTCACTTGACGTTCGATAGAGTAAACTATTATTATTCATTTGTAAACTAGGTGTGTGTTGTACACTTAGGATTATGATTTCTTGAGTGTCTATATCAGCATGATACCTCTTCATATATGTTGGGAATGTCACAAATCCAGAAGTTTCACATGACTTAGTTGATCGAAGGAGTTTGTCTTTTTGTCAGAATCCAATCTCACAAATTATTCAAATTCTAAAGCTAAAATATGTAACCGATTCCATCAGTTAGCACTGGTGATAATTTTTTCGTTACACTTAATTTGGTAGACCTTAAAAGTACCGACCTGTCATTACAAGCTATGGTAAGACAGTTCGAAAACCAACCAGATCTAACGATCGATACACTGATGACCAGTTATTAAGACTATTAAGATTTGATAGCACTAAACACTGTAACTAATTTTCTAGAGTTGGTTTGTAAGGATGAGTTTCTTTTACGAGTTGATCACGGATTTATATCAGTTAGAGATACCACTGAAAACCAGCCACAGGGAGTACTGAACAGCTCTTTCATCCTAGCTTGGGAATCATCGGCAGTACTCACCCACCACAGGGGGTCCGAACCCAGGACCTTCTGGTTACAAGGCAAGCTCACATACCATTCAGCCGCTGGGACCCGATTCAATGGTTCATGAAATTTTAACTTCTACCGATTCGTGACTGCCAAATTTCGGTAATCACGAAGTGTTGGATTCTAACTGATGCACAGACTGTTAAACCCAAAAGAGTTCAGCTTCAAACCAGTGGTTGATAGATTAAACTATTATTGAAAATAATAATAATTTGCTTTATTCCAAAACAGTACTTGTGATACAGAATGGAATTCTCAGCATTTTTACTACAGTATTGCATCCAGTTAGTACATTATCAATAAATAGAATTCTACATAGATTAAGGAAATCACAGTTCATTATTACAACAACACATTGGCATGTCGGTAGCAAAGGTAAAGCTGAACAGTGTGTGTAGGTGTTAGAAAAGTTGGAGCAGTCATATTTACTGGCATAAGTGGGAGAAAGAAACAAAGCAGCACATAACGGAAGAAAAAAACGAGAGAGAGAAAAGGAAAAGAAAGAAAGAAAATGTTGTACCTATAAATGATGAGTTGGAAAGACGAGATCCAGTTGTACTACTGACTATTTAATGAATTATAGGTTTCACGCCTAATGCTTTCTTTATCGCACAGAACACGAGCTAAGTAGGGTATGGTTGAGTTTTTGTACTTGCTGGTGCGAGCATATAGTTTTCTATATAGGCTTCTGGTTTTACCTGATGAGTTGCAAGAGGAGAGTTGTGAGTGAAGAGGGTGGTATGAGTTAGATAAAATGGACTTGGCCCATTTCTCACAGGAGTCCATGTGCCTGTCGACCAGAATATTAACAAGCTGGTTAAGTGGCACGTTGCTTACCCTGCTGATAACCCTTAACATCCTGTGTAATATGTTATAGTCTTTCTTCAGTAGCCCGGGAAAAACTAAGGGGGAACAATAGAGAATAATAGGCAGGATGCGAGAATTAACGAATTGTGGGAGTAAGGGTTGGGTTATACCAGAATGTTTTAACTTCTTAATGTAGAAGGTAAGACGGAATATTTTCTTAGAAATCGCCTGGATATGAGACGACCAGGAGAGATCAGCAGATAGAATGACGCCTAGGTATTTAATTTCCGATTTGGTTTCTGTTTCAGTGCCGTCAATGTTGCATACCTCGTGAGAGCCACCCAGTTTGTTTAGGTCGGATTTATGCCTAAAGGTGAAATTTACTGTTTGGCATTTGGAGGGGTTAAGGGTAAGACCATTTTCCTTGGACCACTGGCTGATTTCTGACAGAAAGCTATTAAGTTTAGAGCAGTCGCTTTGACATTTGACAGGCAAAGATACAGTCAGATCGTCAGCATATTTGACAAAATTAATGTAATTTGAAGATGGTAAGTCATGTAGAAAGAAAGAAAAGAGAAGTGGGGAGAGTACATAATACAGTTAAGCCTCTCTCCTTACCTTACAGTCTGGCTAATCTTTGATGATACAAACGCCTTACGGATCAGGTCTGTACACAGTAAGTGATATAGAATTTCCGCTCCCCAGTAAGAAAAAAGTATTCATGGAAGTAGTAGATTTGCTGATAAATTGTCTTTAGCCGAATAATACCATCTTTACCACTAAAATTTAAATTACCTCGAAATGCTTTACGACCCACAATCAACCAGTTTAACTTTCTTCTCTAGAATATTAAATGATCTGATAAATTCAATTCTCAGAGAAGTGTCTGTAAATAACTGGTTGCATCATCGATTTCTACATAATAATAACAACGTTTTCAAGTATCAGTCGCCCTAAAGTCACCTTCATTCGATTGATTGACTGATTCTTGCATTTTTTCTTTATTATGTTTCAACTTATTTATTCAAGGCGTTGTTATTTAGTTAACTGTATATTCAAAATTATTAGTTTGATTAAAATACTTTTTATCTCAATAGTCAAACAAAAAAGAAGATAGACTAAACAAAATATTTCCACTTTTCCATGAGGAACAGTAAGTGTAGCTATGATTTATGTACATGAATATATGTCTCTCAACCTGTGTGAAATTGAATATCAAAAGCTGCATAAAAGTCTTAACTCCCATCTGTAGGATACCAAGAGCCGAATAAATTTCTAACAAGCTTACCTCAAATAACTTTTGGTCTTATCGATTCATCACATTCATAGTCACACAGAAAGTTTTCAGACATCTTATTAGTTTAATGGTAGATCGGATGATGGCAAGTGTGAAAGTAATAAACAGATGTAGCTCATGACTCGTTGCCAGTGCTGAAATAAATCTAGTCTTAATAACCGTTGTACATAAATTGGCAAAAGCTAGTTGCATAACTAGGATATGAGGCAGGCAGTGTCACCTACCTACTTTGATGAGTCAGTAACTCTCGTGATATCTGATATCATTGCGTGCACTAGTTGTAACCTAGTGATTTCTAACTTTAGTACTTATCCATCTTGTTCAAATTAGTAGTAAGACGTACTTATAGGTACACACAGTAGACATGTAAAGACTATATGACATAAAAGTGATTTCTCTAATTACTTTATATCCTGAACATTCTCGATGGTACAGTCATAACAAGCTCGTAATAAGCTTACCTCAGTGGGTAACTCTAGAATTACCACTTTTTAGAAGACGTATTGTGCGTCGGTGGCGTAGCGGTTGTGACGTTTGCCGACCTTGCACATGGTCCGGGGTTCGATCCCCGATCGACCTACTCCTTTACCTCGCCAAGTCAGAATTAATGCTGGTGAAGAGGAAAGGTTGGGCATAAGGCTAGCAACCCCATCCTGTAAAATAAACATTGCTACAGAAACTTCAAGCCACTGGCTTGAAGCCCTATGTTCCAGTGCGGAACGTGAAGGAAAAAAAAGAAGACGTATTACTTAAAACCCAAGCTGACTCATACTTCATCTTAATTGCCTTACTGTTACCTAAATTGTTTCATTGATCTCATCGATATAACGATGGTGACTCGGCACCATGGATACTATGTAAAGAATACACTCATTTTGAAAGCTGAGAGATAATTTATTTCAACAGTGTTATGACGACGCCAGAAGACCATTAAGTGGTAAAATATACGATTAGTGTAAAGATATCCTTTATTTCACACGCATATTTTTTCATGCGTGGAGTGTTATTCATGCAGAAAACTGACATTTCACTCCTCAAAGATGTTTTTTGTTAATCGCCTATGCGAATGGGAATGTCTACTGAATAATTAATTTCTAAACACTTCTTTAAATTTCTTTCCTCCCCAGAGGTAGTCTAAAATGAAGTAATCTTCGTTTAAAACGGAGTGTGTGGCTACGACGGTGGCACAGTGGTTAGGACTCTCGCCGACCATGCACATGGTCCGGGGTTCGATCCCCTGCCGGCGCACACTCGATATCTATGGTCAGCCTGCAAAATTGGTATACCGATATAACATGCTGAAAATTCCATACTGGTACCAAAAATACCGTGTGGAATCAAGCTATAATAAATAATAAATAAATGAAAAATAAACCTTGAACGTATCTTACGCCAATTTTCAACATACAACAATAGCAGCTAGAGAATGACTGTAGACAATGATGCATTAAATGTCTTCTTCATGCATTAGGTGTAAGGGGGAAGTGGCAAGCATAGTGTGCTTAATACTAGCAAGCCTTAATTCAGTGGCAAAATTAGTCATTTGAATATATCAACTCTTTGCTTATATAAATCTCCAGAATGACTACCAATTATACACTTAACATGAACATTCCTATAATTCATTCAGAACATAATAGTTAGAGCGAACAATTTTTTTCCAATAAATTCATCTTCAGGCTCTACGATTATAAATCCATTAATTTAAGCATACAATGGCCAACCAGTAAAGGCAAATTAGAATCATATCAGAAATGTGTATGGTGGAACAAGTTTAAGTAAGATGGATGGGATGGAACAATAGTCAGTTAGTTTTGAATAT